GGCTAATTTTTGATTTATTGTAGAGATGAGGTCTCGCCAAGTTGCTCAGGCGGGTCTCGATCCCACAGGCTCAGGCAATCCACTTACCTCAGCCTCCCAAACCACGGGATTACAGGCTGAGCCACCGAGCCCGGCTAGCTGTTTTATTTTAATCACCTAGGAGTTCCAGAGATATTTACCTTTTTTATTTGAGTTTGCAACTTTTAAATGCATTAGATTTCTGTAAAAATTAAGGTTCTTTGTTTTATATGGTATGTAGTGGGGAATCATGTTGTGGTTTGAAGGTACAAGAACCTCTGCATTAAGACTCTAACAAAAGTCAGGTCTCATCTTTAGGCTTCTGTGGCATCAGGATGTGTCAGCTGCATTTTCCAGTTGTAGGAATAGCAGCCTGGATGTTGACTCTTTTTGCCTAGTTCATGTTACTTTCTTTGTCGAACTACAGGGTGGACCATGACTTTGTGTGTGCATTGTGGGCATTTCTTGTTTCAGCAGTGAAGGTCTCTTTTTGCTACTACACCTTTCTGTGGGTCTCCAGCTCAAAAACCATTTCAGCTGAAGTTTTGCACTGCCATTTACTTAAAACAGAGTCTTGTACCTGCATTCTGCATTTGAGTCCAGAACTGTTGATCTTAATAGCCTAGTTGAGTAGCAAAGGCTTTTTTGTGTCTGGCATCTCCTTGAACAATGATCAACATCTTTACTCTTTTTTCTTTTTTTCAGATAACAGTACTGAATTTTGGGACACAGATATAAAATGGTTTTCTCTGTTGGAAAGTAGCAGTTGGCTTGACATAATCAGGTATTTTAAGCCATTGTTTTGCTTGTGAATTTCAAAGTGGTAAAGCAAACTGACAAACAATTGAGCTGTTTACTATTTCATAGAGTACTCTTAGGGCACATGTTCTATTCCGGGCTTAGCCGGATTTCACATTTGTCACTTATTCCTGTACACATTTGATAAGAATTTACAGACATGCTACTGACTTAACGAGGAGATGTACTCTATAGACAAGGCATTGAAAGACTATAGGAAAGGCTGTGGCAACACAAAATTGCAATTGAGGCAGCAGTGCTGGCCTCAAGGGAGAAAATGGGGTGAGAATGGGAGAGATACTGACTTTTCACTGAATAATTTACTGAAATTTGTGCCTTATACTTGCTATTTAAACATTTTTAAAAATCATGGTTATTGTCCGTTAGTCATTTGAGTTTGGGAGTTAGGTTAAGAACCCCACTTGATATACTGAATAGCTCTTTACTTGTGTGGTGAACTAGAGGATATGGCAGAGGAAGGCACAAAACAGAAATGATGATGGGGGAGAGAACAGCCCCAACCCTAGGCAACCCTCCTTCTTCCTCGCACGCATTTTCCCTCAGTTCTGCAGTGAGGATTGTGGAAAGGGGCCTCAGCCCTCCAGACATTTGCTTTGGAGATCCTGCTGCATGTCTCATAATTTTGAGTATATAATGGCAGACGGCAATATGTGTTATAAAAGAAAATAACCTGTCTTTGTGTGGTATAGGCAGATAAGGATGAGCATCCCTAACCAGATCAAGAGGCCTGCTGTGGCAGGAGAGGGCACCACTGCAGGCAGAGAACAGCAACTGTGAAGCGCCCCAGTTACAGGTTGGGAATAGGTCACAGCTGTACCAGGTGGCAACAATCTCCAAGGAAATAATATATGTAGAGAGAGACATTTTGCAGGTCACCTTGAATAAAGCAATGTGAACATGCCTCACGTTCTCCAGGTGTGGGTATTTATGGTTTTAGAGGGCTCACTAGCACACTCACATATGGGCTTTCAATAAGAATGGCTTGTTTAGAAATCGCCTCAGAGCATTTCCACTTCCATTTTGGGATTCCCTTCTGAAAATTTTCAGTTTCTAATATGCAGAAGAATGTGTCCCAGTATCTGGAGAGTGTAAATGGCAATTAGTTTCTTTTCTGGAAGATTTTAGTATGAAAAATCTTATTGTTTATTTTACCAAACTCAATGCTCTTTTTTCTTGTCTGTTTTCTATTTAGACGTTGCCTGAAAAAAGCAATAGAGATTACAGAATGTATGGAAGCACAAAACATGAACGTTCTTCTCTTAGGTAATATATTTAAAGCACAAAGGGTGATTTTTCCTTCACTTGAGATTCAATTTTTATATGTATAGCTTTATGTATTTGGAATTGTCTTATAAAAGAAGTGAATCCTTCCCATTCTGGCCAGGTGCTGTCGCTCATGCCTGTAATCTAGCACTTTGGGAGGCTGAGTTGGGAGGATTGCTTGAGCCCAGGAGTTTAAGACCCGCCTAGGAAACACAGTGAGACCTTGTCTCTACAAAAAATAAAAAAATTAGCCAGGCATGGTGGTTCATGCCTGTAGCCCCAGCTACTTGGGAGATTGAGGTGGGAGGATCACCTGCACCCAGGAGGTCAAGGCTATGGTGAAACGATTGTGCCTATGCTCCAGCCTGGGCAACAGAGTGAGACCCTGAACTCAAAAAAAAAAAGGGAAAAGAAAGAAATCCTTCTCATTCCTTTCTCCCTAACCTTAGAATCCTTTGCCTTGGATTTCAATGTTACAGTTTAAAACAAAATTTTTTCACTTAAAACTTGGCAGGTCTTATTCACAGCCCAAGAAGGAATTGTTTGGTATCTTTACCAAAGCTCATATTTCCAAAGCTCATATTTCTTAGTGTTTTGGATTTTGTTTTATGTTAACTCAGCTTAGTTAAAGTTAATGTCTTTCAATAATCCTTTTTGTAGAAAGTGACCCATGGGTAATTTAGTTGTTATTTTTATATCTTTGTGTTTAACAACTTCATATAGTTACCATAGAAACTTGATGGTCTGTGACTTCCTTTTCCTCAGTGGGCTCAACTTGTACATGATGCAAATATTCACAGTGTGCCAAAGCAAGTGTAAACCACCCTATTGATGCTGTAACTGGTTAGATAGAACTAAAACATTACCTGTTGTTTAGAAGTAATTTGTTTCTTACAGCCCTACACTATAAATTAAGTGGATTGTCTCACGCTTTATAGCCCCAAGCTTTAATCATTTATCTGATGCTCTCCCTAGCTGTCAGCCTTAGGTGCTAAGGGCAGTTCTTCTTGTGACTTCTGTCCATCTGATGCTGGCTGACTGACCTAGATTTAAATACATTTATTGAGCACCTGCCATGTGCAGAGCTCTGCTCTTCTGCCTATTAGAAGTTTACAACCTAATGGGAGAATTACCTCAAGAATGTTATAGAAAAAGACCTAGTCAAAATGACAGAACTGAGCATTATTTGAGTACTGACCTATGGCTAAAAGGAGCAGGGATAAAGATCAGAGATCTGAAAGATGGAAGGACCCAGGACCAGATCACACTAATCACAGAGTTGTATAAAGTGAAAATCCCATCTTTGACTGATGAAACGGAGGTGTCCTTCACTCCTATTGCACTTCTGACTCATTTCTCTTCTGAAATTTCATTTTCTAGCCCCTCTTCCTGTCACCCATAGGTATACCATTAACAAATGCAGAAATAAAAACTTCCTTAAAGGCCAGGCTCGGTGGCTCAGCCTGTAATCCCAGCACTTTGGGAGGCCGAGGTGAGTGGATTGCCTGAGCCCGCGGGTTCGAGACCCACCTGGGCAACTTGGTGAGACTTCATCTCTACAATAAATAAAAAAATTAGCCAGGCATGGTAGCACACGCCTGTAGTTCCAGCTACTTGGAAGGCTGAGGCGGAAGGATCACCGGAGCCCAGCAGGTCCAGGCTACGGTGGCCGGGAGCAGCCACTGCACTCCAGTCTGGGTGACAGAGTGAGACTCCAACTCAAAAAACAAAAAACAGCCAGGCTCGGTGGCTCAGCCTGTAATCCCGTGCCTTTGGGAGGCTGAGGTGAGTGGATTGCCTGAGCCTGCGGGTTCGAGACTCGCCTGGGCAGAGAGACCTCATCTCTACAATAAATCAAAAAATCAGCCAGGTGTGGTAGTGCATACCTGTAATTCCGCCTGCTCGGAAGGCTGAGGCGGAAGGATCGCCGGAGCCCAGCAGGTCGAGGCTGCAGTGGCCAGGAGCAGCCACTGCACTCCAGTCTGGGCGACAGAGTGAGACTCCAACTCAAAAAAACTTCCTTAAAAATGAAATTTGTTTTGAAACTGATAGCACTAGAAGACAAAAAAAATCTTTCTTTTTTTGAGACAGAGGCTCACTCTGTCACTGGGCTGGAATGCAGTGGAATGGTTATGGTTCACTGTGGCCTCCAACTCCTGGGTTCAAACAATCCTCCTGCCTCAGCCTGCCAAGTAGCTGGGATTGCAGGCACATGCCACCTCACCTGGCCAATTTTTAAACTTTTTTTGGTAGAGATGTGGTGGGGGGGATCTTACTTTCTTGTCCAAGCTGGTCTTAAATTACTGGCTTCAGGTGATCCTCCTACCTTACCCTCCCAAAGAACTGGCCAAAAATCAATTTCTTTTAAGCCTGTTTCTTCCCATAGTTGAGGCTTACTTTTTGGAGGAGACAAGTGTAAGCCTGGGCCTCTGGTGTTTTGCAATTACAGGGATTAGGATAAAAGACCCATGAGGCATCACAGGAAGAGCAGCTCCCTAGTTACAGTTCATTTTGTTGTTGTTGTTTGAGTCTGAGTCTCACTCTGTTGCCAGGCTAGAGTGCAGTGGCATGATCATGGTTACCGCAGCCTCAACCTGCTGGGCTCAGATGATCCTTTTGCCTCAGCTTTCCAAGTAGCTGGGACTACAGGCACGTGCCACCATGTCAGGCTAATTTTTTGATTTGTTGTAGAAACAAAGTCTCACCATGTTACCCAGACTGGTCTCAAACACCTAGGCTCAACCAATCCACTCGCCTCAGCCTCCCAAAGTGCTGGGATTACAGGCATGGGCCACCGTGCCCAGCTGTTACCGTTCATTCTTAGGTTTCCCTTGCCCCAGTAATATTAGCAACATTCTTCTCATGGACATTTAAAAAAAACAATTAGTGTTACACTTATTTTGTAAAGAGAAAACCATGGATACATAGACCCTTAGGAACTCTAAGATAAATACACAGTTACAGATGTGCTCTAAATCATGAATATTAAACAAGTGCGTGAATGCACCTTTCGTTGGATAGATTTGGTAAAATGCATCCCAGGTGGGCACAAGGGAGTAGCAGGGAGAATTTCACCCCTTAACTAGGCAAGAAGCCAGCAGCTCTATACTCCTCAGACAAAAAAGGAAAGAGCTTTAGAACTGGAAATAAGAGATCATTTTGGTACAATCCAGAAATACTGCACTTTCTCCAAAACTGTGTTAGTGGAGAACTTAGGAGTAGAGAAAAGGAGCTCTGAGGAAACGTATCTGAGAAGAAGCCAAGCCTTGGAACAGTAAGTTCAGTGACAGAGACTTCAACATCTCAGGAGGAAAGGGCTTTAGACCTGTCTGTGGAGCCAGCTGGATCATCATTATGTGGGTGACTCCATTCATGGCACGGCACAAGTGGGCACCCACATGCTGAAACTGGATTTACAGTGCTGCATTTATTCATTCCGTAAGCAAATCCATATTTAGAGCCAGTGTATGCCAGGACCCATACTCAACAGGCTAGCAGCAGTTTGTCTCTCAGTCTGAAAATGTGACCCTTTTTCTTTCCATTGGCTTTTGCCTTTCGGGACTAAGAATGTGACTGTTAATTGCAGACCTTGGTGTTGGGAACCCTACTTTTAACTGTCACTGAGAGTGCTCCGCGGCTTTCTAACACTTTCTGTCCTCCTTCCCCTCGGCCCTGCTGCTGGGGCCCTCCTAGAGGAGAACGCGTCCGACCTCTGCTGCCTTGTTTCCTCTCTGGTGCAAGTGATGATGGACCCCCATTGCAGAACAAGGACTGGTTTCCAGGGCCTCATCCAAAAGGAGTGGGTCATGGGCGGCCACTGTTTCTTGGATCGCTGCAACCATCTCCGCCAGAGTGACAAAGAGGAGGTGAGTTCTCTCACTCCAGACTGGTCAGTCGTGGGGGAGCTTATAGGATACCTGTCTCTTATAGGATACCTGTCTTCAGGTGGAGGATCACTGCTTGCAAAGTGCACACCGGCCTTTTAGGACAACTGGGGTTAGGTCATTGTGTAACGATTTTGGATGCTTTAAATGATATTGAAACCCTTCCCAGCGGAAAGAGATATTAACAAGCATGTTTGGAGTCTTCTTTTCTTAAATTGTGAACACCAAGGGTGAAAATAATATTGATTTATAAAACTTAAATATAAGCTAACTCAGTGAGAGTCTCTTACAATCTCTACCAAGTTAGTCTTTTCAATAAATGGGTATTCAGGGTGTAAGTTTCCTACAGAAAGTACAAGTTGAGGATTAACCAAAATACTTGGGACCAGAGGTGTTTTGGATTTTGGAATTTTTGCACTATAATGCTGGTTGAGCATCCTTAATATGAAATTCAAAATGCTCCAATGAGCATTTCCTTTGAGTGTTATGTCAGCAATCAAAAAGTTGTCGATTTTGGAGTATTTCAGATTTCGAATTTCAGATTTCAGATTAGGGATACTCACCTGTACAAAGTAAGACATACGTAAATTTTCCTTGCATATATCCTTTTCAAAATAAAGCACAGGGCCATGTTTATGCCATCCATTGCTGGGGTCTCAGTGGTAACTTATGGGGCTGTCCCCACAGCCTCTTCTGCTGCTGTCTGGGTGAATCACTCCAGACCTGGGCCTCCGAGCTCAGGCACAGGAGCGTTGGCGCTTTAGATCACTTTATGAAAATGAGCCCCCGCAGATTGTGTTGTGCTTGACCCTGCGACAGCTGTACAAACTCCCTTGGCTGCCTTCTTAATGACTGGGGAGGGGGGAATGAAAGCTGACAAACTTTATTTAATTGAGTCACCTGCAGAGCTGATGTATGCTAGTGGCATGACTCGTGGTTTTTCTTACTCCAGATAATTAGCATGTCTGCCTGTGGTGCAGAACAGCTTGACACAGCATGCTGTGGGATTAGAGAGCCATGGCTCCTGCGTTTAAGGACTTGGTGGGTTCCTGAGGTGACCCAGGACTCTTTCACTGGACCAGGTGGTTTGTTTCAGTCCTGGCCTGTACTCATCTGGGTCCCACTGAGCTGAATAGAAATCACCAACTTGGAAGGGACTTTAAGGAATTAATTTGAAAAGTTGATGAGACTCGTATCAAATGATAGGCAGAGGGAGCTGATACTGTGAGGAGAAGGGAATTTTTTTTTTATATCTTGAGAGCAGGGGGACTGACAGGTGCCATGTCTAATGGGAAAAGGGTCCAAGAGAAGGCCTGATCTGTTCACCCAGCCCTTGGAGAAGTCACTCAGATTTTCTGAGACCATTTCCAAGACTGTACAATGAAATTCATATTTTCTGTTCTATCTAATAATATTGTGCATAAACTGCAGTATGAAATAAAGTTGCTGTATAAATGTTTTTTAGCATCTCAACATAGACATATTGGAGTTTTGAAGGAAAACTAGGTGGTCACATTTGTGATATAATGGAAGCAATACCGGGCTTTACTTGAAGAGCTGGATTTGCACTCATCTGTCTCTTAGGAGCTCTGTGTGAAACCCTGGGCCCACCGTAAGGAAGAGACTGTAACTTAGCCTATCTTGCCCACTGGCAGGGTCACTGATGAGTCAAGAAGGATAAGCACTTTGTAAATGACAAAGCACTCTAGAAACTACTATCTCTACTCATCAAGATAGCTAATAAAGAAGGCTCATGAATTTTTAAAAATACACATGTGAGGCCGGGCGCAGTAACTCAAGCCTATAATCCTAGCACTTTGGGAGGTTGAGGTGAGGGAATTGCCTGAGCCCACAGGTTTGAGAATAGCCTGGGCTACTTGGCAAGACCTCATCTCTACAATAAATCAAAATATTAGCCAGGCGTGGTACATGCACCTGTAGTTCCAACTACTTGGATGGCTGAGGAGGAAGGATCGCCTGAGCCCAGCAGGTTGACACTGGGGTGACCGTGAGCATGCCACTGCACTCCAACCTGAGTGACAGAGTAAGACTCCAACTTAAAAAAAAAAAAAAACCACATGTGAGGTCGGGCCCAGTGGCTCATACCTGGAATCCCAGCACTTTGGGAGGCAGAGGCAAGAGGGTTCCCTGAGCCCAGGTGTTCAAGACCAGTCTTGACAACTTGGTGAGACCTCATCTCTACAATAAATTAAGAAATTAGCTAGATATGCTGGAGTGTGCCTGTATTTATAGCTACTCAGGAGGCTGAGGCAGAAGGATCACCTGAGTCCAGCAGGTCAAGATGGTGGCCATGAGTGTGCTGCTGCACTCCAGTCTGGGTGGCATAAAAATAAACAACCAACCAAATAAATAAATAATATACATGTGAAAAATGTTAGAAACTCATTTGTACTACTTCTGCCTTTTCTCCAACTCCCCTTGTCTTCTGGGCCTTTCCTGCAGTGGGTGGAAAGAGAGCCTTCTCATTCCAGTTCAGTCTCTAGGATCCATCCCTGACCATCAGTTACTGTGTGGGCAGGCAGGGCGATGGGAGTTTTTTCCTCCATAGTATTTTGTTGACAAAATTCAAAATAGCAATTATAATTGAGTATAATTTTTTGTAATACTGCTCAACTAATGAGAAGAATGAAACTATTTTGGGGGAGATAACATTTCACTCAATTGGGGTTCCATGTTAGTGCTTTCTGTTATCAGAATCAGTGGCAGGTGCTCATCCATTTGTTAATGCTAATTTATAATGAGATTTTTACATATTTCATCTTTGAAATGTCTTTAACACAGATAGGTACTGCCAAATACTGATATTAATCCATGAGCACGTGCTTTCGATCAAAAAATGTTTACTGTTTGCGATGAGATGGAGTATATTGTGTTTCTCAGGGAATGCAGTGCTCAGAAGTGGTTATCCCACAGCTGCTGAGTGGCTGCCTCCTGAGTTCGGGACAGCTTGCATTGGGCTCTGTGCTTGCTAAGTAACACATGTCTTGTTTTCATGCAGGTGCCTGTGTTCCTGCTTTTCTTAGATTGTGTCTGGCAGCTGGTGCACCAGCATCTCCCCGCTTTTGAGTTCACAGAGACTTACCTGACTGTTTTGTCAGATAGCCTGTACATACCTATTTTTAGCACCTTCTTCTTCAATTCGCCTTATCAAAAAGATACTAACATGGTAAGACCCCTCTTAGGAACCTGTGTATTTCAGAAGCTCCATCTCACAAGTAGGATGCATTAATATTGATGCTAAAAATGGTACTCACTTCGGCAGCTCACGTACTGAAAAAATCGGAACAGTACAGAGAAAATTAGCATGGTCTCTGTGCAAGGATGACATCCAAAGTCGTTAAATGATCCATTTAAGGAAAAAAATGTTTATTTAACATTGACCATATAGCAGGCACTGTTCTATGTGCCTCTTCAGTGTCATATTTACTCCGCACAGCACCTCGCAGGGTGTGTATTATCCTGAGGAAGCTGAGGCACATAAAGGACAAGTAACTCACCACACAGTGAATGTTGTAGCTGGAAACAAGTGTTGGAGCTGGGAAATTAAGCAAAAGTGAAAGTTGTCCTTTTGAAGGACAGTCAGACGAGATGCCCTCTCTCGTGTTTGCTCAATGCCTGGGACTGTGCTGTGCAGAGAATGGAGACCAGGCAGAGCAGGACAGGGAGGCTTTTGGTTTCCATCTGAAGCCCCTTTAGTCCTTCCTGAGGCTGTACTCCAGGGGCGTAGCTTCAGTGCTTCTGAGCAGTAGGGTTTGCTTGAACTGGGAGGATGACCAAGTCCCGCAGTGAGCTGGCAACAACAGCCCCAGTTTCAGAGCCCAGCCCTGAGACTCACCAACTTCATGACTTTGGGCAGTTTCATTTTCTGAGCCTCAGTTTCCTTAAATGTAAAATTGGAGAAACAATAATTACTCCACAACATTGTAAAAATGCCCAGCGCGGTGGCTGTCATGTAGTCTGCTGGAAAGTAAATGTTCCTCTTCTCCCTCTTCGCCACAGAAAGCTGTTAGTAAGCAACCACTGATAGCCTCAGCCTTTAAAAATGAAGTCTCAGTCTTTAAAAGTGAAGCGGCCATGAATATTCATGCAGGGTAGGAACGTCCTTCCTGGTGTCTGTTGCTCAGAATTATGTGTTTGCCTTCCTAGCACTCCATGGAAGCCATGGTGACCTGTGCTTGTCTTGGCAGGGTAGAGAAAGCCAGGATATACCAAGTAAGCCTTTGAATCTGCTCACCGTGTGGGACTGGTCTGTACAGTTTGAACCCAAAGCCCAGATGTTGCTTAAAAACCCTCTTTATGTGGAAAAGCCAAAACTGGACAAAGGCCAACGGAAAGGAACACGTTTCAAAGTAAGATGTCCACATGTCTAACCCTCTTCATCTGCCCCAGATCCCATGTATGTAAGGATAAAAGTTGCATATAGATTCTGTCTTCCAGCGTATGTTTTACCCCTCAAAACTATCTGCAGAGTGGAGATTTGTGGTGGGCAGATTATTAGGGCCCATTAGAATCCTTTGCTTTCAGCAAATCAGTTTTTGCCCTGATGAGATGTGGCCATTTGCTGAATGCCACTGAGGATGCTACTGCTATATTCATGCTGCATGAAATCCTGTCTCTCAACTCCCGCCTGTGTGTGGTCAGTAGAGTACCAGGAACGCTGATCGTATGGGGTTTTTGTTTTTGTTTTTGTTTTGAGTTGGAGTCTCACTCTGTCGCCCAGACTGGAGTGCAGTGGCCGCTCCCGGCCACCACAGCCTCGACCTGCTGGGCTCCGGCGATCCTTCCACCTCAGCCTTCCAAGTAGCCAGAATTACAGGCACGTGCTACCACGCCTGGCTGATTTTTTATTTATTGTAGAGATGAGGTCTCGCCAAGTTGCCCAGGTGGTTCTCGAACCCATGGGCTCAGGCAATCCACTCACCTCAGCCTCCCAAAGCGCGGGATTACAGGCTAAGCCACCGAGCCCGGCTCATACAGGTTTTAATTGGCTGACAGCAGTTCAAGTTTCACAAGTTAAACCTTTTTTTAATGAGCTGTACCTATAGGCTGGGGTTAGGACACTTTTTCTGTCAAAGGTTATACAGTCTCTCACAACTACACCAGTTTACTGTTAAAGCACCCAGGTAGCCTTCGACAGTAGGTGAAAAAGTAGACATGGCTGTGTTCCAGTATTCACAAAAATATATGCCAAGCCAGATTTGGCCCAAGGGCTGCCAGTATGCTGACCTGTGCTATGAACCACAAATGTCAAAGAATTATTTTTGCCTTCAGATATTTGTTCCTGAATTTACTAGTTGTTTCAGTCCAAAGTTCTCTAATGGTAAATTATTTAACTGACATTTCCTAGCTCTGTCACCAGGCCCAGAATTTCTCCCCAACAGATCCCACAAAGGGGAGGGCAGTGATGGTAAGTCCAAGTCGATGTGTGTCATGCCTTCTCCACACCGTCCTAGTCATGCATGAGCCTGGCCAGTTCTGGTGTGAGAGTTGGTTTCATTCTAGAGAGTATTGGAGACCTGTGTAAGCCAAAGCTGGCAATTAGAGGCAGTGTTGGCTGCTGAGTGACTTAAAGCTGCCACTCTGCCCGTTTAGGGGTCCTCAAACGCCCAGGGTAGATGTTTCCCCTTCCTGGTTCAACCTCTCTTCTGCTAGTTTGACCGGAATTGTCCTGAGCCCCCAGAACAGCTTGGCCAGAAATCAGTTTTTCTTCAGTATGTTATGCCCCCTGGTGGCTGCACACACATTCTGGTGAGAGTCGGGTTAGAATCACAGAACCGCCCAGTGCAAGGAGCCTCAGAGACTGCAAGGCCTATACGTTATTTTACAGAGGAGGAAATCAAGGCTCCTCGCTTCTAGGAATGGATTTCATTTATTGCCTCAGATCCAGTTTTTCTAATTGTCCCTTCTCCTTGTATGTAGGACAGCCTAGGCTCCACGAGCATGCTGGTCAGAGAGGTTTGAGCTGAAGGGCTGGAGAATTTCAGATTGTGTTAGCCAAATCAGAGTGGGGCAACAAAGAGTCTCGAAGTCTTTGCATAAGAAGACTGGTCCAGTGTGGACACCGAGTTAAGTGGACCAGTGGCCTTAGAGACTGGGGAAACTGTGACTGAAGAGCATGCAGTGCTGCTCTGTGAGTTGTCGCGCCAGAGCAGGATTCGCCCAGGTGTGCAGCCTCAATGTCAGCTGCAGGTCGTGACCAGGCAGGCTTTGGGCTCCCATGCTGGCCTATTTAGAATGTTTGATCCACTTAGGAGGTTGAGCAAAGGGGGTTTCCAAACCCAGAGAGAGTTCAGTTAAGAGCCCAGGCTCTGGAGCCAGACTGTGTTTAAAACTACTTAGTAGCTACAGATTACTGACCCTCTGTGCCTTAGTTTCCTCATTTGTGAAATGGGGCAGTGATGGTGACTTTGAGAATTAGGTACGTCAATCTATATAAAGCACTAAGCCTCCGGGTGCGGTGACGCATGCCTATCCCAGCACTTTGGGAGGCAGAAGTGAGAGGATCGCCTGAGTCCAGGGGTTTGAGACCAGCCTGGGCAACTTGGTGAGACCTCGTCTCTACAATAAATAAAAAAAATTAGTCAGGCATGGTGGTGTGCACTTGTGGTTCCGGCTACTTGGAAGACTGAAACGGAAGGATCACCTGAGCCCAGCAGGTCAAGGCTGCAATGGCCATGAGTGTGCCACTGCGCTCCTGCCTGGGAGACTCTGACTCAAAAAAAAATTAAATTAAATTAAAAAAAACAAAACACTAAGCACAGAACCTAGCAGGCAGTAAGCACTCGGTGACGGTTTGGTTTGGTCTACTGCCCTGCCTGATGCACCCTGTTCATTGGGGGAGGAGACGGGGCAAGCTCCTGGCCTTCATCTCTCCTGTCCCTGAAAGGAAAGTCAGAAATCCTGGTCATCTCTGAGTTTTGGTCTCGTGGATGGTGTTGCTTTCTTTTGTATATTTTTATTGTTATTCCATATTAAGGAAACATTTCCTTTATAATAAAGAATATGTTTCCACAAGGAAGACCGCTGGCAAAAATATGTTAGAGGGTTGTTAGAACTACCCTAAAAATTAAGTTTTTGTCTGTTCTTTCTTCAAACAAACAGGAGCAAAAGAGCTGGGGAGGAATAGCTTCTTCCACGTTTTTTTATCTTCTCTTTTGAGCCCTTGAGAACCCTCTGCCTTTCTGACCACTTTATCCATCTTCACAGTCCATGAACAGTGCACGCCAAAAGAGAATACTCTGCTTTGGCTGCAGAGAGAATGTCTAAGTAGGGAAACAGTTTAAATGTTGTCACATTTTCCCTCCATACAGGTTGTCAGACAAGAATGTCTGGCCAACTTAGCTGGTTCCTCAAATTCCTTTGCTCCCACCTGCCTGTTTTCTTTGTACAAAAGAATCTTTATGACATAGGATTAAACTCTTACTGGATACCTGAGAAGCTGCTCAGTTATTTCATCCACATGATAGAATCTTCAGGTAGTCAGCACGGCTTCCTTGCAGGTGTTCAGAATAATGTGGTGGTTTAATGGCCCTGAAGTTCTCAAAAGAAGAAATACCTCACTCCCTTCAAAATATGAATAGGCGTCATCTTCAAATTCCCCTAAATTATTATCTTAAGTTAAACGGCTTCCTCAAAAGTACCTTGTGTCCTTTGGCACCCCTGTGACAGGGGAGGAGGGCACTGAAAGCTCTCCTCTGTGTCCCAGTGTGCCTTTCTGCACAGCTACCACACACACCTGGCTTCCCCCATTTGCTTCTGATACAGTGTGCATGGCGGAAATAAACGAGAACCCCCTCCTCTCTGTGTGTTACAGCATTTTAATGAGTATGCATTCACATGGCCATTCCAGTGTCTCTTGGTGCTTGTTAAAGCAGGATTGTGCCTTTTTTTTTATGATAACAACTGTGCCTCTTATGTTAACTGTGCCTCTTATGTTAACCAGAGGTTTTTGTGTTTTCTCTCAAAGCATCAGCGACAACTCTCTTTGCCACTCACTCAGTCTAAGTCGTCTCCCAAAAGAGGATTTTTCAGGGAAGAAACAGATCACTTAATTAAAAATCTTCTGGGCAAGAGAATTAGCAAACTTATTAATTCTTCTGATGAACTGCAAGATAACTTCCGCGAGTTCTATGACAGCTGGCATAGCAAGCCTATTGACTATCATGGTTTGTTGTTGCCTCATATAGAGGGGCCAGAAATCAAAGTCTGGGCCCAACGCTACTTGCGCTGGATTCCAGAAGCCCAAATCCTGGGTGGTGGTAGAGTGGCCACTGTGAGCAAACTCTTGGAAATGATGGAGGAAGTCCAGAGCCTACAAGAGAAAATCCATGAGAGACACCACCACAGCCAGGAGGCCCCCCGGGCAGAGGCTCCCTGCCTGTTGAGAAACTCTGCTCGCCTTTCCTCTCTGTTTCCCTTTGCTTTGCTCCAGCGACATTCCTCCAAGCCTCTCTTACCCACCAGTGGCTGGAAAGCTCTGGGGGATGAGGAAGATTTGGCCAAACGAGAAGATGAATTTGTGGACCTAGGAGACGTGTGACCTGTCTGTTGAGTGACTCTGAAAGGGGAATGTGGGAGATTGGTATAGTTGACCCCTAGACTCACATCACGCCGCAGTGAACGCCGGGAAGGGCCATTAGCTGGCGCTCCGTTGGAGTAAACTGGGCCTTCAGGAAAAAGAGCTGGTTCTCGTTATTTTTCATGGTCCTAAAAGACTATGCAATTAAAACCATATCTTTAGTATTATTAATTGGAAGGAATTACTACTTGACCTGTAATAGAACTGTGGTCACTTTCTGATGCCTGAGTATTACACAGAATCTGCAATGGCCAGTTTACTACTAGAAAGGGCTTCGGTAAGATGTTGTTGGACTTGATACTTTCTTCAGATCCTTTCTGTGCCAAGATAATCTATCCAGTCACTGGGAGTAGTAAGTTTCTCCGTAACCCATCCTAGTTTTGAACAGGTTCAGCTTTATGTGATATTCGTACGGCAAACTGAAAGATTTAAGTAGAGGTTTAAGGTGTATGGCATTTACTGAAACCATAGCATTTTTCCTTCCTGCATCCTCTTGCTTTAGAAAAGCTGGCAAGTTCCAGGTGTCACTCATCCTACTGCTTCAGTCCATCCTCCCGCCTTCAAGGACTGTCACACTGCCTGTGGGTAGTAGGCCTTTGCCCTCTTGCCTGTGCTGTGCTGACAGCTCCAGGTTTCCTCCGCCTGCTCCGTTCCGTTGGCCACTGTCCCCTTGCTCTCCCCGCCTGGGTGCACGTGGTCCCAGTGTCTTGCTGCTAAACCTGTTGGTCACACTGGGGAAATTGCTTTGTTTCGTCAGAGAAGCCTGTTCCTCTGGAGTCTCTCAGTGTTTGCAACACATCGCTTTGCCTTTCTCGGATCGCTGCTGAGGCTTCAGAGTACTCGCAACCATGGTCTCTCCAGCAGCCCCTGAGCCGCTTCCTGGCATCCTGTTCCCTTTATAGACTGAAGGGGTTGGGTAACTTTTGAATGCGGCTTTCACAGGAAAGCAGTTAAACATAAACTATCAGAAGTGATGATTATCATATAATACCTCAGCGATTTAAAAAGCCATAGAAGAAACTTGACTATGCCTGGTCACCTTCTTGGATCTGCTGTCCAAATGAGATATATATAGAGATATAGACATAATTTTTTTAAGACAGGATAGTGTACTTTGTAAGGACCAGTTTTTTTCATTCTCAATGCAACCCTGTCAAATCCCATAAAAGAAAGGGGCGGGGGGGGGGCAGAGGGAAACTCATGCTAGAATGTCTTAAATCGAATATTTGCCTTTTATATATATTGGTTCTCTAGTATGAAATCCAATTTGAAGTTACAGGTTTAGAAAAACTTTCAGTTGCTCGAGGGCAATAAGGAGTTTTAGAATATTGACAGAGGAGTTTCTGGGTTTGCACTGAATCGCCTTTTGTACATACAATAAGTTGTCTTGCTTTTCTCCCAACTCCATGTTAACTCACGAGCCGCATGGTCTGTTAAGCTGACAGACTGAGGGAGGGCAGGATTCATGCAGCTGGGGGCCAAACACACGTTCAGTCTCGGTTGCCTTAAGAGTTACTAGTGAGGTCAGTGTTAGGCTTGCAATAGGGATTTTTAAAATACACTAACTAGTTCCTTAGCTACCTTCACATACGTTCTGTGGGCCTTCTTAAGTTAGCACTAACCTCCACCTATTTCTCTGCACCATTGCCTCCCAGATACACTATGGAGCTAACTATTTTTGTTACCATATTATAACGTGAATATTTATACGGTAGCCTTTTCAGTCTTAGTGACTTTCATTCCAAAAATGCCCGGTGTGATGCTTTACATTTTACAAAGTATGGTTTAAAGGCACAAGGTCATGGCCCTTGTCATAGCAGTTGAATGTGCGTTGAAATATTTTTCTATGATTTTTTAAAAATTACAATAGAAAAATAAGCTGTTGTAACATGTAAGGTCATGACAATTTTTGTATTTATATTTGAAATCAGATTTCTATAACGTATTTGTGTACAGAATTCTCGGTGGGTTTATATATTGTGAAATTTTTATCCAAGATTGAAATGTGGGTTATACTTAACAATAAAAGCTGAAATAAGACCATTTACTTTGTTTAAAATGCTGTACTGTGCAAGTTTGGCAATGTATATTAATTTACTGTACATAATATCTTGAGTTTGTTTATACCTCTAAGTTTTTACACTGAAGATAAACTAGCTTTAATTAAATTCAGAACTTTTTTTTTCTTTATAAGGGAATAAGCTGTTAAGCTAAATCTGTATAAACGTGCTTTTTATTTTCTGGATGCACAATGAAAGTTTATACTTGTATCTCACTGCATCATATCCGATTGCAGAAATTAAAGCACAATTTACAAGCAATACTGTATTCACTGTGGTTGGTATAACACATGGGGTAATCCCTTTCTGTCATTCTGGTGATGTTAAGAACATGCTGGGAGCTGGGCTCAGTGGCTCAGCCTGTAATCCCGTGCCTTTGGGAGGCTGAGGTGAGTGAACTGCCTGAGCCCGCAGGTTCGAGGCCCGCCTGGGCAACTTGGCGAGACCTCATCTCTACAATAAATT